CAACCTGGCGAACGCCCATCGCAAGTAAGACACGCTGACAATCTGCGCCCTGAAGGAGAGTTTTACACACCTGATAAACCGGGGTATAAGCCTGCCGAACGTCCCACACAGAAAAAGCCACAAGACAACCTTAAACCAGAAGGCGAAATTATTATGCCGGAAAAGACTGTATTTAGACCAGCTGAAAAAACTGAGCGCATTATAAGAAAAGATAATCTTCGAACTGAAGGCGAATTTGTGTTTAAAGATAAACAGACATACGAATTTGTCAAAAGGCCTGACCAAATAAAGCCAGTTGACAATCTGAAACCTGAAGGAGAATTTTATAAGACAGAAAAGCCTTCTTACAAGCCAGGCGTACGTCCACTAGTTAAAAAGCCTGAAGATAATTTGAGGATGGAAGGCGAGTTTACTGTGCCAGAAAATGTTTCATTTAAGCCCTCCGAAAAGACAAAACGTATTATAAGGAAAGACAATCTGCATATGGAAGGGGAAATGACATTTTCCAAAAAGGAGCAATATCATTATGTCAATAGGCCAGAACAAATTAAACCTTCTGATAACTTAAAACAAGAAGGAGACTTCTATACTCCGAAGAAACCGAAATTCCAACCAGCTCAAAAATTGTCCCCAGTTAGGCCTGAAGATAATTTGAGGCCGGAAGGAGAATTTTACACCCCTGATAAGCCAAGATATAAGCCGGCTGATACGGTCCGACGAGTTGTTCATAAAGATAATCTGCGGATTGAAGGGGAGATGACGTTTACAGAAAAGGAAAACTATGTCAATGTAGAACGTCCAAACCAAGTAAAACCAGAAGATAACCTCAGATCGGAAGGTAAGATGTATATTTCATCCGATAAAACAGATTCCAAAGAACTTAAAACTAAAGTGGAAAAAGCGGTAATCAAGCGCCCGGTAGATAACCTGAAACTTGAGGGCACTCTTCAAATTTCAAAACGAGATGACTATAACGAAAAGAGAACTTCCAAGCTGGATACATCTAAAAGTGTGCAGAAAACTACCAGAACAAAATACACGCACAATAAGTCGTCAATATCTCTTGGAGAGGACAGTGCCATTCTAAAGACAACAAATCAAATGAGCTTTGCTTCGGGCAAACAAGCTGTTCCGATGGCTAATATGAGTTCAGAAAAACCAGTCGATGGTTTGGTTGTAGTATCCACGAAAAAAGTTACCACTGTAATAGGTGGTCGCGTCAAAAAAGAACCGGAAACAGAGTATGTTAGACGACAGGGGAAAGTTAATGTCATCGAAAATATTGCAAAAACTAACAACGTTAAAAACATAGTCAACATTGAAAATAAACATGATGAATCAATTTCGGTGAAGGAAAATCGTTTTGCGAAGGAGAAAAAAGTCATGGATTCTGTTCGCGTTGATATTTCTGATCAAACGTTCACCTCTGCAGTGACTAACGGAAGTAACGCAGGAAGTAGTTCAGAAAGAATTATGTCTAGTGGAGTGGTGGCAAATACCGCTGGTCCAACAATTTCCACACAATGCAATTTGGATAAACAGGAAAGCACATCGACACACATGAACGCTACCTCATCTAAAAATATTTCTGATCAAGCACATTCCACACAACACAAGACCATGTCAGCTGAAAGTGCATCAACGAAAATGTCATCAAGCTCCTCTGCTACCACTATGTCTAAACATTTCCATCATCGACGAAGCGATTTCACTGCCGACGCAAACATTACTAATTCAGTATTTCATCGAAAAACTGTTTCAAATGAGTCAAATCAATTAGGTAGCCTAACGTCGAATGGTAAGATTCACAGAAAGAGCATTCTGAATTTGCACGAGGAGCCATCCAGCTCAGTTTTTCCAAGCGAACGCCAGAGCTACAGTAGCATACATCGACAGAACAGGGAACAAGATAGCAGCGCGTTGTTGATGAGCGAACGTCGCCACTACAACACACTCGGCCAGTCGCAAAATAGAGATCAGACGTCAAAGTCTTGCAATATTTCTAAAACGTCGCCTTCCGGTGGTATCGAAATTCCCCCTTACAGTAAACATTCCGAAAGAATTGTAACACGAAGGAATGTGAATCAGTCATCTATATCTCTGGGGATGGATGGAATTTCATCCACCTCCTTGTATCGCAGTGAATATAAGACGGTTCCATCCACAACTTGTGCTATACACAAAATCAAAGAAGGTGCATTCCAACATACAAGAAATACGAACGAACATAAATTTTTTAAAACTGTCAAGAACTAATTAGGCTGTAAAATTTTAAGGGCATGTAAAAATGCGTCTTTGCATGTACGCAAAAAAAATTTTAATAAATTTTTCATACAAGCATATCAATGTTGTAACTCAAATATTATATTTACGTTCATTTATGTATATGCAGACAGACATATATATGTATATTAAGCAAGAGTAATTGCCACATAATTTAATAAAATATTCTCAAAAAATTTACCGCTATGGTATGTTCCACTATATTATCATGGCGAAATAAATAAGTTGAAGTAATTTGACAGCTTTCTATGTAAATTTACCGACCTTCGGCTATCTTACAAAACAATGTTGCTTTTCACATTAGACGCCGAGGTTGAAATTTTAAGGGGATATTGCATGCACTGTAAAATCTTTTTGTTTACAATTTTCAATTTTTTTAATTGAGTTAATTGTGTAAACACTACTGCAAATACATATTTATGCAATACGTATGAATTTAGAATTCCTTAAGAACAATTTGCGATTTGTTACTTATTAGGCCTGTTCGCCAGTACTAATTTTACTGGTTTTTTACTGGATGTCGTTTTCGTACGCAAAAACTTGCAAGAAACTAGCAAAAGAGGGGAAATTGAGAGAGCAAAAATGACAGCTGAACTTGCAAGTTTTACTGGATTTTTACTGGATAAATTTCTACTAGCAACTATTTGCTACCAAGAAAAACAGCTGATGGCATGATGCTTAATGTAATTCACATTAACAAAATAATTGTTTCTGGTGCTTTTAGAGTTGCAATTGACAAAATAAACCTATTTAAATATATAATAAGGTGGAAAATACTAGTTTTGTAAGAAAATTGCATCGGAAAGTAACAAATTAATCAGCTGTTCATAAAACTAGCAACTTCTTGCTGGTTTTGCGTTTTCGTACTTTCTTGCATATTTCACTCATTGGGAGTAAATATTGGCTTACTCTCCGAAATTTGGTTACTGGCAAGTTACTGGATATTTTTTGCTGGAAACACAAACACAAACGAAAACACAACTAATGCCATCCAATTTTGGCAAAACAAGTGTTCGCCCAGCGGTCGAAATTCAACCACTAAAACTAAGGGGAGTTGAGGTGAGTTGAGTTGAGTTAAGGCGAAGTGAGTTCAGGTAAGGTGAGTTCAGATGAGTTAAGTTAGGGTGAGATGAGTTCAGGTGGGGTAATAGCCCTGTTCGCGTACGCACTATCCAGTAAATCCAGTACTAATTTTACTGGTTTTTTACTGGATGTCGTTTTCGTACACAAAAACTTGCAAGAAACTAGCAAAAGAGGGGAAATTGAGAGAGCAAAAATTACAGCTGAACTTGCAAGTTTTACTGGATTTTTACTGGATAAATTTTTACTAGCAACTATTTGCTAGTAAGAAAAACAGCTGATGGCATGATGCTTATTGTAAATCACATCAAGAAAATAATTGTTTGTGGTGCTTTTAGATTTGCAATTGACAAAATATACCTATTTAAATATATAATAAGATGGAAAACACTAGTTTTCTAAGAAAATTGCATCGGAAAATAACAAATAAATCAGCTGTTCATAAAACCAGCAACTTCTTGCTGGTTTTGCGTTTTCGTACTTTCTTGCATATTTCACTCATTGGGAGTAAATATTGGCTTACTCTCCGAAATTTGGTTACTGGATATTTTTTGCTAGAGAATACGAAAACACAACTAATGTGAATTGAGGTGAAATAACATTGTTGAGGGTGAGTTAAGTTGAAGTGAAGTAAATTGAGTTGAAATTAAATGAGGATAGTTGAGGGTGAGGTAAGTTAAGGTGCATTGAGGTGAACTGAGAGAGAGCTGATGTGAAGTTAGCTGAGGTGATTTGAACATTGTTATGTTATATGAAGGGCTCAGAATCTCGGCATCTTCAAGTGAAAATGGTTAAGTTTTCTTTACGAGTCATGCAATTTTCTTTAAAATGGCATTCACTGGTTAGTGCATATTTTGCAGTAAATACATAGTTTTGCATATATTGCAAAAAGTTCCTGTTTCTGCATATTTATTGCGCATATTTTAATATATTTTACAATAAACGCAAATAGCTTTGCATATAACTGCCGTTTTTGATCTACAACCATTTAAATTTAGTGAGAAATCACTTGACAAAAAAATTACCTAAAATTTTGTTCAAAATATTTATCTGAATATCTTCTTGGATAGCCAAGCGGCCATTAAGGCACTCTCTTATACCTCTGTTAGATCTCAACTAGTGGAAAACTGTAGGAGAGAGCTTGCGTATATCTCTGATCAATACGAAACGAGGCAGCGGACGAACTGGCAAGTTGCGGCTGAATGTTTCCTCAAAAAAATTACCGAAATTTATCACTGGAGGGCCAAGGAAGGATCGTACAGGATTACTCTCTTAGGAATGAACAAAGAAGACACCCATAAACTTACTGCAGTGTACACAGGGTACTCCTCCGGTGGGGCACATGCCGAAAGGATTGGATTTCCCTTCAACAGAAGAATGGTTTAGAGTGTAGCTGCCTCTTCCTCTACGACGTGCTGAAATTTATTAAAGCCGCGAAAGGGTTGTAGGTGTATTTTATGTTATTTTATGTATGTTACCGCATAACTTTGGACCACATCAACCGATTTCGATAATTCTTTTTGCATCGGAAAGGTAGTTTCTCTGAGGTGGTCCCATACTAATCTGGTTAAGATCCGATCAGTGCATCATGAGATATACAGTGACGAGCAAAACTGTAACATGGTTTAACACTTTTTGTTTCAGCCACCGCTATATTTCCAAGTTCTAACGACTTTCATCCTTTTGTTGAATATTCTTGTGGGTCATCCCTACTCCCTCTCTCATAATGATTTGAAGTCAATACAACAACAATAAAAAAGCCAGCAGACAAAAATGTAAATTAAGGCAGATGTTACAGTTGTGCACTCACTCTCAGTTTTGCATTTGACAGTTATCTCTTACTTAGTTGGAAGTCAGATGAATTTTTTCTATATTGTAATTTATTGAAGAAGTGATCACCAGTAAATAACATAGTTAATCAGGAACCATAAATGTAAATAATAGATTTACTGCGGAAAGGCGAAACCGACAAGTGGCGAAAAGTGGCAAAAAATTTTGGAATTTGCTACTTAAAAATGTTAGGACTAGACAATATATAGCCTAAAGTGTTCCCAAGGACAAAGGAAGTCTGTTAAAAAATATTACGGTATGATATATTGTGAACTTAGAAGCAAGTAGCGATGCAGCCACTATTACAGAAGCGCTCAAGGTATTAAACTTTAATGCAAATCAATAGACAGCGAGGCAAATTGAGCGCAAAGGCATCTTAAAGAAGAAAAAAGCAAATTTGATCATAATACATGTGCGAGTGTGGCAGCATTTCGCTGCATCGCACGAAAACCGAACCGTTGCCTATTGGGATATGCTAGGCCGTTCAGAATGCAATAAAAAACATATTTTTAAGTTTCAATTGAAGGTTATTTGGTCTGACAAGACTAAATTAATCACTTTCAATCAGATGGCCGGGCATGGTATTATTAATTTACATTTTTGTCTGCTGGCTTTTTTATTGTTGTTGTATTGCGTGTTATCTTTTTCATACAAATATTCTCTATTGATTCTCTTTCGCGAACGAGAAGCATAAAATAAGTCTATATCGTTCGCGTTCCCGAATGTTAGGTAGAATGTCCACACTTGTTCATACGCGTATGGATTGGTAGACCAAACAGCGTGCGTTCATATATGTAGCTATAAGTATCGATGCCTTCGCGAACATTTACTGTCGTTCTCGTTCACAACTGAATGTAAATTCTGCGTCAAACATTCGCGGAAAGGTGATGTGGCTAGAGATACTATTCTATGCGAAGGAAATTTTGTTAATTGCAAAAGATTTGCACCGTTTATTCAATTTCAAAAATGTTGGTGTCAAATGAAAGGGCTTGGCTTCTAGATCAGTGCCCGACAAAGAGAGAAAAGTCTTAAAAGGAGAATGTATTAGTTATGAAACAAAAACTGAGAATGTGTTGGTGGTAATGCACGGAAAAAAATTTCTGTGTTGTATTACTTATTATAAAAACTTTGGTATGTTTTTTGCCGTTTTTTTCATCGCTATTTTTTAGATCTAAACAACATAGAAACATATAATGAAAGTTAACGATTCTAAGAAAGGAAAAAGTTGGAAAAATTTTGTATGTATTGTACAAAATTATTATTATTTTTTTATAATTTAAGTGTGAATTTCTGAGCAAAAAAGATAACGTGCTTCGAGCACTCTGAATATTAAAAGAAAATTACGTTGACTTCAAGTAGAAATAAAATAAAAATATATATATCTAATATATATTTATTTTAAAATTAGGTAAAACTTGACATTTAAGAACAATTTAAAATAACGATTAAAGCAAAAGATAAATAACAAAACATATTGTATGTTTTAATTGAGGACTAGTCTGGTATTAAAAAAAAAAAAATACATAATTCACAAAGTTCTTTTAATATGAAGAAAAAGTACGACTTGGTACCATATAAATACCTATTTCTAGGGGTGTATGTACGAAAAATTGTGTTATAAATTTTTTGAATGAATATTCATTCATTCTGCTCAGTGTACCTACTTTATTCAACAATAATGCGCCATCAACCTGCTTCGCCTGTTGTTTGCATGCACGATTGAGAGAAATAGAGGTTGCGCCTATCACGGTACCGCTATTCCTCTCTCAGTGAATTTGACAGAATCGTTGTTTGTATGACGTCACACTTGTGCAACTTGTTTACGTTTTCCTTGTAACATTTTTTCTTCTTCTTCCATTCTTGCTCACGTTTTGACATTTATCTCTCGCAATTGCACCAGTGTGACGTCACACAAAAGTTATTCTCAAAAATCCTCTCTGATAGGCGCAATCTTGTATTCTATCATTCTTGGTTTGCATGCAACTAAATAAAATTTGTTGCTCTTCTACTTTTTCTGTTGACGTTCGGATTGTGTACGTGTAAGAAGCCGATTGTGTACATGTGAAAGGCCGAATATAGTTCGTTTCCCAGGAAAGTGTTTGGCGGGCACTGTTCTAGATGTGTAGTAAGGTTATAGCTCTGATCCTGTTCTCCATGAACTTACAGGTTTTTAGACGAACTTGCAGGAAGTTACAGGAAAAATGATCCCGTACTCCAAATTCCTCCAAACTCTGCAAATGAGAGCGATGTTGTTGAGAGTTCTGTAGAGAATGAAGTTGCAAGAGTTTACCCGAACTTTTTCTTCTGGTAAAATCATGAAAAGTGTCAAGCGATCA